TGGGAGGACATTTTGATCACCGGGCAAGGAACACTAAGCGTTTGGTTCATTACTCCGTCAGATGCGACCAGTGATCTGTTGTTTACGGTGACTGGGGAAGGCATAGGTGCAGTTGAAGAACTGGACGTGGGACGATCTGCGAGCGGATGTTGAGCAGCAAAGATAGTAAATCCAGTAGACATAGCAAGTGAGAAAGCAGTAGTCTAATCCATCCATGCTTCGTCAATGGGCGTGACGCTGCGTGGTTGCCCAGGCCGATGTAGACGGTTGTTTTAGGGGGCCTTACCCGGAGCCTTTTTTCAGGATCTAACCTACAAGGCAGCAGGGCGATATGAGGGTATCGCAACCCGTTGGGAACCAGTGACCAAACAAGTGGTTCATAAGCCTTTAGGACCGCGTAGTACCAGGGGCCTAACACACCCTTGAATTACAATGCCCCTCAGTGAGAGGCAATGTGTAGTGACTTTATCTAGTTACGACTCACATCCGCTACGTCACAGTGTTTTTAAATGGATTTATGTGGCTTTTTATAGGGAGAACGCTTACCAGGCAAAAACCCAGCACGTCCTGGAACACTGACACCGAACCATTCGCAGGAACGTGATAATCCCGAAACCACCCAGCTGGTACCAAGAACTTGTTCGACAAGTCAACCACTTCGCTGTTTGCTGGTCCCACATCGGATCCATTCACTTATTTGAGTAGCCGATATTGCGCCCTATGCTGTCAGCCTAGAGTCGATGACGCACGAGCATTGTCCGACGGCTGTTGCCCCGGCCAATCCTCTCACCAGGTACCATTGTACGCTTCGTTCGTACTAGCCGTACAAATTCTGCTTTGCCCGTCCACAATTTTAAGTAGTACGCTTGGGCTGCGCTTGCTTGACATTTTGTTCGGTGTTTTTGCTTCTCCACCCTTCATCCAAGGCGGCCCGTGGCCCCGTTGATCACAAGCCTGTCTTGCAATCTTAAAGTTGCGAGTCAGAGTCTGCGTATGGGGCTGGGCGACCCTCGCAGTATCCTTAGCCCATACGCCACTGGTTGTGGTTGCGCGGCGGCAAGGCATCTGTATTGCGCACCGGCGTACTGCTAATGTCTGCCTATCTGCCCCTCGTTGCAACTGTTGGCCACACTCACAGACTACATGCTTCAACACGTACTTTTCATCTCCAGCGTGAAATGTACTTTTGCGTGACTGGGCGGAAATGTCACTTGTTTCAGCTATCGGGAATAGCCTCCTGAAGGAGTTGCTCATTTTAATTTTCTTGGTGGGTGTCTGGCCTTCGGTTGTCATATGGTCGAGGAGACCATAGCTCGTATAGCTTTTAGAATTACGAGTCTTTTTTGAATCTGGTGGCTCATCCATCCATCATTCAAGAGCAGGATGTGTAGTGCATTCCTGATGATGGTGTTACCCTATGGATCATCATCATCATCATCATACACGTTAGCTGGAGGTGGGAAACACCTCAGCTACTGTGCCGCGATACAAAGAAAAAAGGAGAGAAAAAACAACTGGTGGAAGCTAGCTAAGCTACCGGTAACGGATGGGCATCGTTCCGGTAAGCTACAAGCCGGCTGCTGTGCACCCAAAAAAAATTATTATGCAAAATTATATAAGGCTAAGTAATGAGATCGTGGTTGGAGGGGGAGGCTAAGAGGGATGGGGTGGGACAAAGAAACTCACAGCAAGAACGCCACTGAGGTCGGCTCCTAGCCATATCAGCAAGTGTGTCCAACCAAACGTGTTCATCGTCTTTCGGACCCCAACCAGGGAGCCGAGACGCTCCAACCGAGGCCAGCTCAGAAGTGAGGGTCTTCATTCTTCTGGACCAAGTCATCGCTTGGCCACCCGTCCTCTTCTTCCATCCAAACCCCCGGCGCGCAAACAACACACGTCGCGGAAGTCCGTGGGCTGGCATGCGTAACACGTGGCCGAGCCATCGGAGCCTGATGCGTGAAATAACGGTGCTGAGCGGTTCATTTCCTTTTCCTGTGCCATAAACAAGGCGTCGAACACGCTCGTTACTCACGCGGTGTTCCCACCACATGTGAGCTAAATTACGAAGACACCGATGGTCGAACGTAACTAGCCTCTTCAGGTCCGCTGCTTTAATTGGCCAGGTTTCACAACCGTACAATAGGGTCGAACGTACTGCTGCATTGTACACTCAGGGCGAGAGCGATGTCGCGCCGGCGCCATAAGTGGCGAAGGTTAGCAAAAGCGCCCCGAGCTTTTGCTATACGATTCGTGATTTCATCTTCAATCCCACGGGCGCTGATACAACTTCCCAGGTAGTTGAATTTTTGAACGACTTCTAGCTGATCCCCACCAACGGTCAGCGTAGGAGGCGGTCCAGACCAATCTCGGAGAAACGCTTTGCACTTCGAGGGTGCGAAGCAAAGCCCGAAGTGACGGACAGCTAGTGCTAATCTGTCCAGTGACGCTTGGCACGTTTGTGAGCTGTCACAGATGAGGGCAATATCATCAGCGTACTCTGAATCAAGAAGTCGTTCTCCTGGGAGTAGCTCCACACCTTCTAATTCGTGTCCTGTGAACGCGATTTCCATGAGTTCATCAACAGCGAAGTTGAAGAGGAAAGGTGACAGCGGGCATCCTTGTCTCACACCGCTGGAGATATTAAAGGGCGACGACAACTTGCCGTAAGCCCTCACTCTTCCCGATCTACGCGCATATAATGCTCGGATAATATTCACATATTTCTCAGGTACACCTTTCCTGAGTAGACAGTCCCAAAGTGCATGTCTATCCACCGAATCGAATGCACCTTTGATATCGAGGAACACGACAACGGTGGGCCGCCAGATATGTGTGACGGTGCTCCAACAACTGACGCAAGGTGAAGATGTGGTCAATGCAGCTACGACCTCGACGAAATCCAGCTTGCTCTTCACGAATCTGGCTTTCACGAGTGCCAGTCAGTCTGTGAAGGATGACAGAGCAAGCAATTTGGAGGCGATGGAGATCAGACTGATTCCTCTATGGCTGCCGCATTCCGTTCGTGAGCCTCCTTTGAAAATTGGGACTATGATGGAGCGGCTCCAATCGGTTGGGACAGTTTCCTGCTCCCACAGTCTCACTAGTAACTCGTGTAAATCATCCACAAGAGCAGGTCCCCCGAATTTGAAGAGGGCTGGAGGAAGGTCATCAGGTCCCGCGGCTTTATTTAACTTCAACAGTTTGATCTCATGTTCGACTTCTGAGCGAGAGGGTGGATCCAAAGGGACAGCCCACGGAGCAGGGCGATCACTGGTCGGCGAGAAATCTAACAATTCCGACCGATTAAATTGCCTTTCAAGTGCTCAGCCCAACGTTCCAGGCGTTTTGATAAGTTGTGGATAGGCTGTCCACTCTCGTCACGTATTGTTTCACTAACATCAGGTCTCCTGCTGCCCGTTTTCCGTATAAGACGGAATAACTCACGATGGTTACCAAGGGCAGTGGCCATTTCTATCTCTGTTGCACGACGAGACCACCAGGATTCGCGGTCTCTCTTCAGGCTAGCACGGAGTTTTGCCCGGAGCTCTTTGCGAGTTTCATTGTGTTCGCTTCCAGCCGGAAGATGCCGGCGAGCATGTATAAATTCCAGAGACTGTGAAGAGACCCAATGTTCATGTTGGCGATTAGACATACCACATGAGGATTTGCCTGCTGCTAGTAAGACCTGTTGCATATGAGACCAGTGAGCTTCAATTGCATCCAGTGAGCGTTTATCCAACTCGGATGACAGCGTAATTTGATAGGCGTTCAGAACAGCTGGATTCATCAGACTGCCGGTGTCAATGCGCTCACATCGTCGCGGGCGTCCGCCAAAGCGCATCCGCAGGTCAGCACATACAAGTGCATGATCGGTGTCAACACCTGTGCTCCAAATCGATCGACAGTTCTGGACGCAGCCTCTCCAGCGGTAATTGATAGCAATGTGACCTTATGGATCATAAACATGGGAAATACCGACTGAAGACACTGTGAAACTGCTCGCTTCTTATCATCAGCTCCTGCGTAGCACCGGGTGAATAGTAGTGCGCTTCGCCGTTTGATGGTTGGAAGGAGGCGGTCTGGTGCTGCACTAGTATGCCTGTTAATCTTATGCCTCTTGATTTGGCTGCGTCGCGATGCTCGCACGCTTTCTTGCTGTCTACTTTGGCGTACCTTGCTTACCGTCGCCACAACTCGCGCTTAACCGCTGAGTGGCCATTTGATGTGGTACATCATCATCATCATCATCATCATCACTATACATGTCAGCTAGAGATGGTAAAACACCTCCGCTATTGTACCGCAATACATAAAGTCTCTGATGTGGTACAGGGACATGAGGAAATTGACTACGAAACTTAGCCAGCGTTACTATCCTTGGACGTAGTTGTTGGGAGGAGCATCTCCTAACAAATAGAACAGTGAACCCTAAACAGATAAAACTCCAGCCGTTTTTCAGAAATCAGGGAGTATAATCTCGTTGATTGATCAAAAGGATGTTCTCACACAATCTAATATTATTATTGGTAAGTAAAGAATGAAAGAGAACAAAACAGGTTCAAGAAGGTCGCCGCGAACAACTAAATATCGGTGCTGTACGCTGTATGATCATCTCGTGTCTGGCACCTCCTACACCGTATCTCCGACTGCTTTTTTGATCGGCCAGTCAAGCGCATAGGTTTTCTCCAACAGCCAATCTGAACGACCTGATGCGACTTCGGTGACCATAACAGTAGTCTCTGATTGACAATATCCTTGGTTTGAACCATTATCCAACATGATTTAACCGCGGGATTCACAACACTTCGGCGCTCGGTCTCCTGCATCTTGTTATTAACTCTTCAACCCCATTTTCCTCGTTTCATTTTACGGTTTATTTCAGTTTCCTCAGCACTTTTTTATTTTTATTATCATGGATCCAACTCGCTCGTGTGCTTCCGCCATGATTGCTTAACCACCTTAACTGATGTGTACTCCAGGTCTCCCTTGCTTTCTTTACAGAACTAATGGGACAATAACAATGCTGCAAGATGACTCTTATCGTGCCGAAATGTTGTCTGATCTGCAGTCCGATTGCGCGAAGTTTTTCTCCATGGTCGAGAGCAGGATTGATTTTCTTTCAAAGACAAAATCTGTCGACCAGTATGTCAGGCTTCAGAAAATCGGACAAGGTACTTTTGGCGAGGTATTCAAAGTCAGACACAAGTCAACCAAACAACATTACGCATTAAAGCGTATCCGAATGGAGCAAGAAAAAGAGGGCGTACGTTTTTCGCGCCTTTCAACTCCCTTACCCCTGTCAGTTCCCGATTACCGCACTTAGAGAAATCCGAATTCTACAATCTTTGAACCACGAAAATATCGTTTGTCTCAAAGAAATTTGCCATAGTTCACGTATGTTGGTGGTCGCCCTGTTGCATCACTAATCGCTTTTCAGCCAATGCCCGAAACGGATTCAAACCACAGTTCTTTCTTGTGTTCGAGTTTTGCGATCATGATTTGGCCGGTTTGAGTCAACAAGTTGATTTTTCAGAACCCATCAAAAAAGCAATCATGAAGCAACTATTGACTGGTCTATTTTACCTGCATCTGTACGTTACAGTTGCAGTGCTCTCGTCATAAAGGTTTACCATTTTGCACAGTTTATCTTTTCCTTCGAAATGCTTCGGTTTCGACGGCAAAGCCTTGAAACCGGACTTTGCTCTTTCACTGGAATATCGTTTTTACTTTGCTGCGGATTTATTAGTTTTCACTAGTTATGACATTTCCACGATTGGACTATTTGCAAGGTTACTAATGTCGTTCTATGTCAATTTTTTAAATGAAATCTTTGAGATACTGCGCGTACCACGCGGTTCGTTGGTTTCGGCCATGAAACCTTAAAAAATTTCAACAAATGCTGAGAGGCGTTTTTTAACTTGATAACTCATCGTTCCAATTAACAAACTGGGCCTCGAGACTGCTACAAACGGAATGCAAGTACGAATTATTCACCTCAGCAACGTACAATCGAAACCTTCAGACTTGGGACTGTTCATTTGTGTGATACGTATTAACCGATGCCATTTTTATCCATTTATACTTCCATTTTACGGTGCCAATTTAGTCCATCCGCAGTAGCTATTGTAGGATGTTGGAAATGCACCTATTCAAGTGCATAAACCTAATATTGAATTGACTTGTGTGCGTTCTATGCATTCCGGTTCATTTTTTGACCTGGTTGACTCGTTTCTCCTGTCCGCTCAATGTGTCCACATCTCTTCTATGATGTGAATCACATTTGATCAACCGTAAAGAGTGGCGTTCCGTGAACACATGGCAGAGTTCGTTCCTATGGGGCGCACTTCACGCAATTTCGCCTAAGGGAATCGCCCAGCTTAGTAACTGGAACCATGCGCTGTGTAATTCAACTGAGCTATTTTCGCGTAAGGCACACGATCAGCACAGTACAACATTTGCTTCGCGCGGAACCTCTCTGATATTACTCACTGTTAACATTGCATTGTACAACCGATTTTGTCCTCAACCGGTTGCCGACAGGAGTGCACGCCTACTTTCAATCCGGAGTTCGCCGGTTCGAACTCTTGTAGGTGCGGACGACCACGTGGTATACTCAACCCACGCGCGACTGTGGTAATCATGTGGCAACGAAGCATCGGTACGATGTGTCGGCTTGCCGCTGAAGCCTTTCCCTCTTCTTCTCGTTCGAGCTCCTTATATATTAGGATCGGCCGGTGGCCGAAGGGATTAGACGTTTGCCTCGTCCCCCCCCCCCCAAACGTCGCGGGTTCGAATCTACGCAGGCGCGGGCGGCCTCCAGCTCACGTGCGATTGGTGTTGGTCGCGTAGCGTCGGTGCGGCGCACTCGGCATACTGGTGATGGCTTTTTTCGTATACTGAGGATCTGTGCTGCAATTTTATCTCCTGCATTCACTGTCTTTGACTTCACCAATATGTTACCAAGGCCCGCGAGTGATATTTATTACAGGCATAAAAGTCTCCATGTATTTGGAGTGCTCACAGGGCATTTAGACTTCGATACACGAGCTCTGTTTTCGTTTTTGCCCTTTTTATGGCTATGTAAGTGTGTTACAGTATCTGGAATGTTTCTCACCTCCAGCTGACGTGTGATGATGATGGCATAATTTCACAATGAATTACGATCCATATTAAGGCTGTATATCTCATTCCAAATACGAAGGGACATAGAGCATACAAAATGCGGGGTCTGGTTAAGACACCTCATGTATGTAGTTGGCACTTCCTTATCATTTTCATCATGACTGGGCGCTGGTGGCACATTCATGGAGCCAGTCGCAATCTCCCTCTGCTCCATTACTCCAGGTTCTTTGACGACCTCTCTGACGGTTTTGGCTTTTTTACAATCCCTCTTAACCACACATGTGTTATTGTTGCGAAACGAACTACAACGTGATGCAACTTGAAGTTCGGTTTCTGCTTTGGTTTACAGATGGCTACCGACCTGTACCCCTTTAAGCCGAGTAAAGCAGAATCTGTTTGGCCTTTAGTATGCGGTAGACTCGGAGCTGTTTTCACGTTTTGCAAAATTTGACCCACTCAGAAATCGTTTTTCAATCATTGTGTACTTGCAGTAGCCGTTCATCATTTCAGGCACGTCTGGGTTCGCGTCCTGACGTATCCACTGGCTCAAACAGCGCACTAATAAGCTTACTCACCTTATTGGTCACATCTCTCAGGGTTCTTGGTGTTCTGCCAGTTTTCTTCCGGTACATATCAAGAACGTTGCATGTAAGTTAATGTTTGTCTGGATTGAGACCCTTTACAGTGGCCATGTTTTAGAGATAGCATTGAGCACACTCCGTCTTGGATTTTGCTTACTCGTTCTACGTTGACCTGTAAACGACCATTGTGTACCCAACCAAGTGGCCCCGATTGTGTGCTGGGCCATGTTTGTATCGATTCTCATCATCTGCATTTGTCACTTTGTTTGTCATCAGAAATGCTGGGTCACAAGATTTCGCCGGCTCGTGTACGCTGTCGCAAGAGATGAACATTGGCAGCCGTAGTTTCCCTGACCTGTTGCTTGACAGTTGGTATTACGGACCTCAAGTTGTATAGGAATATTAGTTGAAACTTGAGAGTGTACTTGTACGCTGTTTTGATGTGATTATATACTACTACTAAGCCAACTTTTGAAATTCCACCATAGCATCCTCATTACCTTTTGGCACATTGGCTAGAGGTGAGAAACGCCACAACCACTTTGCTGCAATACAATTCAGTTAGATTGCTGCAAAAAGGATGCTTTGTTTTTATTGTGCATGATTACTGAGACTGTGGTTGGTTGGGAAGGGGCTAAATAACTGAATAAGCTTTTTATTCTCAATGATATGAGACACGCCTGTATCGGCTTTCTCGGAACAATGCATGCCTGTATAGAACTCCAATCGTAAGTTGATCAAGGGACTTGTGAATCATTTCATATACTGACGTTTGGGAGGATAGCAAAGGCACACTAAATAGTACACTCTGAAGTGAAATGATGTTAGCTTGCCTTTACCCACTCTCTCACATGTCTAATTATAAAACAGTTAACTCACTGGAGAGAGTATGGTGTCGAAACATGTACTGGGTGAAGAGGGTACAGGGAAACACCATTGAGACCTGCTCCTGGTCATGTCAATAAATGTTTCCTATAAGAACTGGTCATCGTCTCTTATAGCCCAACTCGGGAGTCGGGAGCTACCAACCGATGCCAAGTTCAAAGTGCTAGCTTTCGATCTCTCATCAACTGACTTTTACTTCTTCCATTTCGACTTTGGTCGTGTAAGCAATGCACGTCACTGGATTCGGTATGCTGGCATATGTGACACATGGCATTTAGACTGTATCTTAGCTTGATGCGATTGTTTTCGTACCCCTGTGACCCGTTGAGCTGTGCTGGGTGTCACTTTTCAAGTGCTTTCAGAGCCACTCTTACCGGAGACGTCAATGGATAGGAGTCCGGCTAACAGTCTCACAATACAATCCTCTTCGGGTGTTAGGGAGAGGTCGTTGACCCTCCTCGCTTTGAAACAAAGCCATGGGAGGCAATAGATCCGCAGATTATAAGCTCACAATTCGATTGACGTAGAGCACGAGCGCTACGCATTGTCTCCGACGACGAAAGGAGGGCACCTTACGGTGCTCAGCGGTTTGCGACTGCCTGTCTCAAACTGGGCAACCCCCGCTGAAGTTGGTGCAAACCCGCCAATTCTCAGCGGCTGGACCTGGTCGCAGGTGAGTGACATAATACGTTCGTAACACAAATGCATTGTTCTATATCTTCAAAAGACCACAACAGGCCTCAAGCAGATCTAGCTGTGTTTCTGCAGTCAAACTCCCGAGCTGGCCTTGCACCCCAATGTGTTGTGAGTTAAAGGCTGGAGGCGGGGCACCTTGAACAAAACCCCTCTCCCGCAATGGGGAGTCGGAGAATATCATGTGATTTCTCCACCACATCGACAATACTCCCTCCTCTTCCTCTTGTTTTGTCTCTCCTCTTCCTCGTCTATTGAGCAAGAAGCTGTTGCTGCCCTCGCAACTGCTGCCATCAGTACATGTAGCTCTTATATCAAATCTAGGGTTTTCTTTCACACAAGTTCTTTTAACGTCTGCATTCTAGGGTAGATCGCCTGGTAGGCAGCATTAGCTTTCAATCTTCACTCTCTTGGTATTGATGTATGCTGTCTTGGAAACACGTATACAAGATAACAGCATGGTGACGAATTTTCCACTCCCCGCTTCTGAATCTGACGACCATGACTAAACTCTTCGCCTCTCTGGCGATACCGAGTCAATTGCTCAAAGTATTTACGGTGTCGGTTTTGCTCTCAACAAACATGCTGAAGGCAATCTGTTTGATTGAATACCGGTAAACAGCCGCATGTGTGCGGTTCGACTTCGATCCTCTATTGGAGTTAATGAGCAGCGTCTGAACCCAAGGTGCCTTTTCATTGCCTCAGTTTATGCTCCTACCGACTTTAGTTTAAAATGTATCGAAGCTGCTTTCCAGCGACAGCTTTCATCTCTTCTCCGCATGGCAAAGAATGATGACATGTTGATTGTTGCTAGTGATTTGAATATCCAATTAGGTCGTCTTTCAGATTCTGAACAACATCTTGGAGGGCGTATCAGAGTCGATATACACCGATAGCACAATGGTGATCGATTCCTGCAACTGTGCGCCGACCACAATGTTGATAGTATCAGCACTACTTCGCAGCACAAACGTTCACACCGCGTTACCTGGCACCCGCCGAATCCCTCCATGACATGGACCCAAATTGATTATATTGCTATCAGCTATTCATGGCACACATCAGTCCAAGATTGTTGGTCAATTTGGAACACGTGCCTGGATTCCGACCATGCTCTAGTGCGCGCACGCTTGGTGCTCACCCTTCCCGCTTCAAAGAAGCGCTTGTCTTCTGAAGTTTCCTGTAACTTAAACTCGCAGTCTGCAGTTCAGCAATATCATGACGAACTGACCCACCAAATGTCAGTGATGAATGAAGTTGGTGAACCGAACGCTGACTAGGATCGTCTCCAATGTGCCATAAGGAGTGCTTTTGACGCTTGCTGTGCAGCCAACTTGAGACGTCGTAGCTGTGAATAGATTTCTGAGGCACCGGTCAGCTTGTTCGAATAAAGGAAGTAGGTCCCGATGAGCACTGAGTTTCAGCATATCTGTAACTCTGGAATGACATCTGACAAGGACTCTTCGAATCGAGCGGGAGCGTTGGTTTGTGACAAGGGCTCGTGGGATGCGGGAAGGCAGCGCTATTGGGAACAGCCGAGTGTTGTTCCAGCTCATCCGAGAAACGGGTCCGGGAAAGCCATCAGTTAGCGAGACACTAACTGAAAAAGGCGGTCAGTTGATCAATTCTCAGTCTCGTCGACTAGTCCGTTGGGCGGAAGATTTTCAATAGCAGCTCAACTGGTTTGCTTCGACAATACCGCTTGCCGAGTCTTCTGAGGCGAAGTGGGAAGTAGATTTGAAACCTCCCACTTTGGAATGAATTCTACATGAGCTTTATTTGTTGAAACGAAATAAGGCTCCTGGGCCCCACAACCTTCCTCCATCTTTGCTGAAACATGGTGGTGACTCTATTTTAACTGAACTCGCTTCTCTAATTAATACGACTTGGAACGGTGACGAGGTTCCTTCAGATTAGCGACTGTCAACTGTCGTTTCCATCTTCAAGAAGCGTCAGCATACTTTGTATGAGAATCATCGAGGCATTGGTTTTTGTTCCATTATATACAAACTTCTGACTGGTATCATTCTTCCACGACCTATTGGTTCCCGTGAGAACCGAATCACAAAAGGCCCTGGTCAAGGTTTTGTGAACCACATTTTTACTCCTCACCAACTTTTGGAGCGGACACACACATACAGACTGCCGGCTACGGTTGTTTTCCCTTACTTGAAAGCTGCCTTCGACTCTGTTGACCGCGCCAGCTTGTGGCACTGCCTATCCATGAAGGGTGTGCCGGCTAAATTCCTTTCCATTATGCAGTCTCTACCGTGACTCCCGAGGCCATATAAGGATCTACGGGAAACTGTCTCCTGTCTTTCCCATGACAAGTGGGTTCACCCGGGTTGTCCTATAGCTCCCTTCCTCTTCAACTTTTTGATAGAATTGACCACGAGTGACTACCTTTCTTCAGACTCTACTGGAGTGGAAGTTCTGCCAAGTGATCGACTGGCATAGCTCTTATTGGCTCTGACGCAATGGCTATGCGAACGCTATTGGATAGACTGACGCATAGCGCCGCACACTTCAGCATGTGCTTAGCACCTTCAAAGTCCACAATACTGCTGCAGGACTGGACCGACAAACCTCGGGTTCTATCTATCACCGAACAGCCAGTGGAAGTGGTGGATCGGTTCACTTAACTTGGTAGCTATGTCACCTCTGGTGGTCACGTCACTGAGGAGGTTGCTTAGCGTATCAGCAAGATCTGTTTAGCTTTCTAGAAACTCAACCATCTATGGAGGCGGTGGGATATCAGTCTGTCAGTCGAAAGTAGGGTGTATAACGCTGCTGTAAAGCCGGTGTTACTGTATGGATCAGAGACTTGGTCAGTTCGCGGATACAACATTAAACCCTTGGTCTTGTTGCACCGCCGGCGCTTGCGGAATAGTGCTCCAATTTGGTGGGAACACTGGGTGAGCATTGCTTAGGTTCGCTAGTTTGTTTATAGCAGTAAGCGTTCTGGTGCCTCACTGAGTGTTTGCCGAATACTAGTTGTTTACATTGGCTAGGCCAGATGCTCCGTATGACCGGCTTCCTCAATATGCATTATACGCCGTGGCTGCACTAAGTTGAGTGAGACCTGGAGGTGGCCAGTCCATGACGTGGCATAGAGGCGTTAAGAATTTGACTGGGAAACTTGGTCAGGCGGGTGCGTGCCGTCTTCGTGGATGTGTGCCTCGGGATGGTCCAAACCAGTGGTTGGAGACCGTATCAGATGGCGCAGTCACGTATTCAGTGGCGTTCTTACATTCGGCTTATTGCATATGGTCGTTAGTTTTCATTCCATTCTGATTAGTTTAACGCATTTTCTTTTTGCTTCCATTTCACATTCTATTTACCTTTAACCCCACTATTTTGCCGTCGTTATTTATTGTTATTTTTGCGATATGAGTCGTGGCAACAGCATCCACCGCACTTTGATGCTCGGATCATCGTTGTTCAACTGAACTGAACGGAAATGAAATAGTTCTGATAAGGCTTTCATCCCAACATAGCAGAGCTTAGTCCGGAAAAGCGCCAGACGCGTTTCGCCCTATTGGGGCTCGTCAGTGCCGCGCATTCTCTCGGTCCTCTAAGGTCCTCTAATTATGTAGCCCAGCCAACATCCCCCATGACTCAGTGGCTTAAGCTGCTGGCTAGTTGGCATCTGCCTCTAGCGGTCATGGGTTCCATCCTCCTTAGAGGACCGAGGGAATGCGCGCCACTGACGAGCCTCAATAGGGCGAAACGCGTCTGGCGCTTTTCCGGACTAGGCTCTGCTATGTAGCTTGTGAACTGTTGGGATGAAAGCCTTATCAGATTTACAACTAAAATCCTGCTACTAATGAGTACTATGAAATGGTTATGTTAGGCGGTCCACTTGCTTTCCCTACACCGTCAACAAGATCATGGACACTTTCATTGCCGAGCAGTGTAGCAATCGTGTACATGGACAGGAGAGCGATATGAGTTCCCTAGCGCTCTCTTGTTTCAGAGCCATTGCGACCATAAGGGAGCCGAAACAATGACTGAATGTTTCTCCATTGCTTACCCACCAACCTGACTTCATTCCTCTGTATGCTTTACAGTGTTATACATTCGTTTTCATTACCGGGTTCAGGAGGCACATAGGCCACTAAACCAAGGAATCATCCATTTTTTGAACTACTATAATTCCCGCTATCTCTCTAACAATTCAACTGTAGATGGTTCATTCTTTCGTAAAGGTTTTGCAATACTACAACGTCGATTATTCTCCTTTTGCTAATTGACAGAAATAACATACTGCATCGTGATCTGAAGGCGGCCAACATTCTCATAGACAAAAATGGTGTATTGAAGATCGCCGATTTTGGTCTTGCCCGCACAACAGTCGCTTCCATCCGATCCGACCGACCAACACGCTACACTACCAGAGTAGTCACTTTGTGGTACAGGCCTCCGGAGATCCTCCTAAACGATCGCCACTACGGCAAACCAGTGGACCTTTGGGGCGCTGGATGCATTATGGCGGAACTTTGGACGAAGTATCCGATAATGCAAGTACGTCCCCTATTGTTTAATGTTGTACCAACTTGCCTTTTATGTTTCCGAATGTAATTGATACACTATGCTCAATACATCTGAACTATGATCATTCGGAGAACTCTGAATCAGATTATGTTGACGTTATGATCTCCAGAGGATACAACCAAATACGAACCGTTTTGTGATCGTTGCCCATTTGAAGAGACGAGGGCTGCTCCTCTACCTGTAGCGAGCTTTTCTTGTAATCTCACGGTGCGGGTTCGAGCCTGCGTAGAAGCAGGACGACCTTCGCAGTATCCTTAACCCACCTTCGACCGGTGGTGGTTGCGCGGCAGCGAAGTGTCCGTACTTCGTACCGTCGTACTGCTGATGCCTCTCCTCTCCCTGTCCACGACTGATACGGCCGGCTCTTTCAGTATCCGCTTCTAAAGGTGGTTTAACGCGTGGATAACTTTGTCCACTCAGACGGCTGGTTTACTGCTAGTGACACTATTTGCATTTGATCAAAGCCCAGTCAGCTTTCGAAGACCAGAGGTATTTGTGGCGCCATCGAAGCGCATCTGTTTCGATAAAAAGTATAATTTCCAACGGATACGTTCGAGTCGTCACTCTTTCGAAGCGAGTTCGGTTCCGTTCACGTAGACGATACTCCTCAGCTTTCGGCCTCCCATACTCAGTGTTTCAAGAATCACCGGTGTGTATTTGCAACCCGGGTTCCGCAACTATGAACTTAGACACCACACAATGCTTTCTGAAGCAACTGCTACTGCTCTATCACGTTCTGTGCATGCTATAGTGGAGGTTTGCCGTGTCACACTTTATTTACTCTCATAGTGGCAGAGGAGACCACGCGGTGATTAGCCTACCGCTTAGCATACGAATATAAAATGGCTGGCTTCCCCTCTAGCTGTCGTTGCTTCTCTACATTTTTCTCGTTGGTGATTCAAAGATGAGGATTGCCGTCGGCTGGAAACACTTGAGGTTGTGGCACGAGACCAGGTTGTGCTGCTATGCTTAACTTATTTTTATTTACGAATGCCTATAAAGTTCTAGCCCCATTAAGTTTAACGAAGGAATCCGATGGCATTTTCTTCTTTCTTTCGGTTTTCACTGTCCCGCATCATGATTGGTCAATTTCCCACAGATAACACAGAATCAGACACTTAAAACTTGCATTCCAACGGGGAGACAATAGAGAGTATAAGTTGCAAATTCACAAATTTCAAATTTACCTTTTTCGTCCCTTTTCTACTCTTCAGTACGTGACTGTTTTTCATTTCGTCTTCGTTACTCCCTTTGTGCACAACCACCAGAATTGTGAAATACGAACCTGACTTTTGTTTATCCGCATCACTATGGCTGACTGAAGCACCGCGGTAATGATTCACTTTCATGCGTTTTACCGCTGACTTGCTGTCCTCTGTTGTCCGTCCAACGCTGACCCGGATATAGACTGCTGGAACTGTTTTGGTTCACTGCTGAGCAACCTTCAGGCCTACGTCTATCATCCTAGTAGTATGTCACTTACGTACATTTAGTATTAATGTTGTATGACCACATTTTATGATTTGCACCACGTCGAGCTTTACTTTTTTGTCTTGGGAATCAAATCGTGCCTGAACCTAAGCTTATAGAATGTACTGTGTCATCTAGTGGCATTTACGAGAGCACCCCATTGGTGCCGGCCGCGAGCCTTGCACAAGACAATTCACGTGGACTCCAGCTTGGAGGGTGAGTCGGACTATGAGCACCCGGCTGGTTCTCAGTGACTCCATTTCCAGCCACCTAGTCAACTGTTGTCGCTGTCGAACTTTGCGCTACCCAACATCCGGTAGACACAACATCGCCCTCCTCGGTAAGCTGGGGCCTGAAATACGTAGCACGTTCCAAAACCAACGGTTTCTCCAATATTTTTTGTTCTTCTAAAACACTGACCCGACTATCCCCACCTTTTACTCGCCTGTGCACATCATCGCGGAGGACACGCAGAGGTACCATCCACCACCAGCATCAGTTTGCAAGCAACAGTGATCAATGAGTTGAAGGCACTCCAGATCCTCCTACCGAAGCGGTCAAATTTCGATACCATTAGGCATGACGATCCCTACTGTGACCGTGTACACACGACTTTTCGCATCGAGTGAACCCACCCTCTGGTGTCACAAGTGTCGCAATTTTCGGAGGGTACTTCTAAGTTCTGCAGTACCTTAACTAACCTAAACGCACACGCCCATCGCTATTGAGCCAAGTGAGTTGGTCACTTGCTCCCGATTCCTTGTCGATAGTAGTCATGCAGTAATTGTTTATGCTTTGAAACTGAGGAGCGCGTACCAAATGCTACCACCACTCCAGAGAGTTTATCCAGGGTTAGATTTACTGCTTTGCGACTGTCAAATAAAAAGACCATGGCTACCGCATAATCCAGATGTACTAATTTTCCATCAGGCAATATTTAAATGCCCACATATTGAAAGGTTAGAATGTAAGGGGGCCACAATTCTTTTTGATTTTTGCGATTCTTTGTCCACGACTTGCCGCAAACTATCCACTGTTCCCTCTTTTATTTGTCATTTTCTGCTCCCCGTCCTGTCCCTAGTCGCTTCTTCTTTACCATAATTCCTGAGTTTGCCAATGTCATTTCCTTACCAGAAAACGTGTATGAATTACTATATATCGCTGATTTGACGGTCATTTTCCCCTTCAGGGTGACAACGAGCTGAATCAGCTAAATTTGATTATCAATTTATGTGGATCAATCACTCCCGAAGTTTGGCCAGGAGTTCAACGTTTGGAAAGTTTTAGAGATGCTCGTCTTCCTCAGGACATCAAGAGACACGTTCGTGAAAAGCTCACTCCCAAAATCCCTTCTTTGGCCGCAGTAGATCTAATTGACCAGTTGCTTGTTTTGGATCCCAGCAAGCGATTGGATGCCGATCAAGCCTTGTCCCATGATTACTTTTATGAAGATCCGCCTCCAGGGGACTTACGGGCGTTTTCCAAATCAGGCACCTCCTATTTGGAGTTTCTGTCCTCAAATAATCCACGGGGTCGCGCTCCTCCCGGCTTGAACAGACCTGCTGGAGTTCGTGGTCCCGGTCCCCAGATGAACTATATCGGAGCCTCTGGGATGGCACATCCTAATCGTCGTCCACCAATGCCAGACGACAATGTGTATTATGATCGGGTTTTCTAACCAATGGGAAGTCATCTGTCGAATCGAGTCACTTATACAATAAATTTGTACATAGCCTTCTTTGGGTTTGCTTCACTTTAGTTTCGTTTTAGGTAGCATTCGCATTTCCTCCATTCAGCGTTCAGCTCAGCGACTACGGCGCCTCACGCAATGGCTGCGTGAAAAGAACCGATTAACTTCTGTCCATATCCTTCACAAACTAGTTAACTGGTAAGTTTGTAAGCTCATTCAATATCAACACTTAGTATGCGCACACGCTAACTGTCGGTCAGCATGCGTGGATTATGTAATACCCTGGACATGTGTGGTTCAGGCTTCACACGCGATCTACTGTAGGGCCTTGGAGTCTGGTGCGAGAATGTAGCTGGTGAACTTCGGCATTACTGACTCGGTGTGTTGAGAGATTGTGGAGTAGACATATATTTTTGTTACAATTCCTAGTTACTTGCTTATATTTCGCTGGCGTTGCTTTATTGACCTCTTGTTTAAACGCATCAATTCCTTGATTTGATTGGCCGCCTGCGTTGTGCGGAACGGATATCATCTCAGGAGTCTGTTTCCGCTAATGCCATTTTCTCGAACTCGCCTGATTGTTCTCACATTTACCACTTCTTATTCGCCTGCATTATTCAGTGTCTCCTACGTTGATGGTTGGCTCCAACGTGTTTTAGTAGTCTGATTTCAAATATATCCTATTTAAATGAACAGATTAGAACAGAACTCGGTCCCGGCTCATCTTCATGCTCTTCCTGCTGTCGTGGGTGCGTGAACAGTCGACTGGGGACACAGCACCTTCTGCTGACGGGTAATTGGCGAACCATGATGATTTCTTTTGAATGTATGCAGGCACTATCCCAGCAGCAGCAGCAGCAGAGGTAATTCGAAATATCACAGCGATAGCTAATCGAGTTGTTATCACAAAAGCTGAACCTTCAGGCAGTATCTCCAGTACCGGTATCACGACCTTCAGTGGACTCCTTTGTGTCATCGATTTCGGAGTTCGTTTTCGACGGATTGACTGGTGTTACCTTCGAATCGTGATTCCTTATGTACGGAGGTATTTTCCATGTGGAGTTGGCCAAACTAGATGATGATGCTTGGGAAGTCTGTTTGCGCGGAGCCGTTGAACATGAACGGTATACAGATTTTGTTTTACTCAAGAATCCAAGAGACTTCAGTTTCGAGGAAACGGTGAGAAAATTGACACAGATATTCCGTGTGCAATCATCCTTATTCAGTATCTGGTACAATTGTTAAAAATCGGCCAAACGAAATGCACGGGATTTCGTCACACATGTTGGCATCGTGAATCTAGAGTTTGAACATTTCAACCTGAGGACCATGACATCGGATCAATTCAAGAACCTTCTTTTTATGCACTCCTCAATCCCTAGCGGACTCCGATGTTCGAACACGTATCCTTCACAAATTGGAACAAAAGCCACCACTGACATTGCAGGAGATTGCTGCTGAGTGCCAGAGGCTGCTGAACCTGAAACATTACACAAAGATGGTGAAAATTTCGGATTCCAGAAACGGGCCTCGCATTTTTCGTGCAGCCGTTCGCAGCGAAATTATGAAACAAAGTGTGTCGAATCGGATAACACCCCCTGCCTGTTGGCACTTGCGAGTGGCACTTTGCGAACGACTGAGTACAAGAATCATCAATGTCACAAATGTAAACGCATTCCTCATAAAGAAACCCGCTTGTCCAGGACCGCACAACTTTAGTCGCATATTTACTCCAAGGCTTCGAACTCCAAGTTCAGCAAGATCAGATTCCAGGGTGCAAAGACGAAAACCATTCTTGACGCATTTCGCGCAGCATTCGCAAGGCACAGAAAATCTCTGACTGTGAAACTCGACTATGTTCCGGTATCGTAGCAGCTAGATACAGCGTCCGACATCACCGTCATTTCCCGATCGACATGGGCTAAGCTGGGTGAACTTCCAGTCAAACATACAAGTCTCACGGCTTAAAGTGCATAAGGAGAACCGTTGTTGCTAGACGGAGAACTTGATTGTGAGCTCAAGTACAAAAATTTGCAACTGCATGACATCATCTACCTAGCTTCTTGTGCCGACATTAATCTACTCGGAATAGATTAGATTGTGAAGCTAAATTTGCTCGATGAGCCACTGAATCGTGTGTCTTGAAACAAAAGCGATAATACCATACCGATTCATCTCAGTGGAAGCCTCTCACGTGGTCCCCAACCTGGAAGACGGACTGGTCCAACTGGTGCAAAACTTGAAGTTGTCTTCTTCATGATTCTTCGCCACGTCATTGGCTGTCCACCGCGGCACTTTTTCCAATCGCTCCCTGGGAGTGCAAATAGCGCTCGACGTGGAAGGCGATGGGCTGGCATGTGCAAAACGTGCCCGTGTCAAAGCATGCGATGTCGGAGAATAACATCCTGAAGACTGGCACTATTCGCCCCAAGCACGCGGTCCCGCACCTCTGTGTTGCTTACGTGGTGTTGCCACCACGCCCGAGCAATCCTTCGTACACAGCGATTGTCAAAGATTGACAGCCGCTTCATATCTTCCGAGCGAATAGGCCGTCTCACAGCCGTACAAGAGTATTGCACGGACGGAAGCATTGTACACCCTGCCCTTGAGCTTGAGACTGACATCACGACGACGCCATAGGTGTCTCAGCTTGATGAATGCAAGGCGGGCCTTTGCAATCCGTTGTGAGACTTCAGCTCCGAAACCGCCACCAGCCGTGATGCAACTCTCTAGATAAGTAAAGCAAGGGACTTGCTCCAGAACATGTCCAGCAAGGGTTAGCGCAAGGTTCAGGCACCTGCCAGTCCTGGAGCAGCGTTTTACATTTTCTCGGAGTGAAGCACAAGCCATACTTAGACGCCTCCATCGCCAAGCGGTCCAAAGAGCCCTGGACGGATTGTAGGTCGTCCCCCAGCAAGGCGATGTCATCGGCGTAGTCCAAGTCCGTGACTTTGTCTCCAGGGAGGAGCTCAACACCGCAGTCCTGGACACCTTCCAGTGCTCTTTGGAGAACATCTTCGATGGCGAAATTGAAGAGGAAAGGTGAAATAGGGCAACCTTGGCGAACATCGCTGGTCACAGCAAACAAAGAAAAGTGCGTACCGTAAGTCCTGACTTGGCCCGACGTGTGACTGTAAAGTTCTTTCAGGATGGTTACAAACTTGCCGGACACACCTTTTTTCAGTAAACAGTTCCACAACACAGATCTATCTACTACGATTGTTGGCCGCCGGTGGATGTGACGAAGTTCGAGAACTTGCCGAATCGTGAAGATTTGGTCGATGCAGCCGCGGCCTGGACGAAATCCGGCTTGTTCTTCTCGGGAAATCTCCCCACTAGTCGTTGAAAGCCTGTGAAGCAGGACCGACACGAAGATTTTGGATGCGACAGCGATTAACGAGATTCCACGGTAGTTGCAGCAATCGGCGCGGGAGCCCTTATTGTGAATCAGACAATGACCGATTCTCCCCATGCGTTCGGAACATTCTTCTCAGTCCAAACTTTCGTGAACAGCGATAGGATTTCGCTGACAAGTACACTCCCGCCATCTTTGAATAGAGCCAGTGGTAGGTTGTCGGGACTCGGTGCCTTGTGGCGTTTCAAAGATTGGATTACATTTCGAATCTCTGCTTCATTTGGGTGGGGGCTGTAAAGACAGGCCAAGTATCATACATTGAAGCTGGAGGTGTCACGTGAGGCTGTGTTGGGTGGTTGAACTGAAGAGCGAAATGCTCTGCCCAGCGATCCAAACGCCTGTGAAGGTTGGTGATCTTCGTGCCGTCTGATTCGCAAATCGTCTGGCTGATAGCGTGGAAATTGCAACCAGTGGCCCTAATGAGGTAAAATAGACGGCGGAAGTTGCTAGCCGATGCAGCGGCTTCGGTCTCATCAGCTTGTTTTGACCACCAAGATTCATGATCTGAGGGAAGGCTTGCTCTCAGCTGTTACGTAATAGAACGGCGGTGTTCGTTGTACTCTACACCAGCAGGCACCACCCGTCGGCGATCCAGCAATTCCGAGGATCTTCCCGAGATCCAGCTTTTGGGAGTGGAGCGAACGAGGCCACAGCTGGACAAACCGGCTGACAGCAAGGCTTGTTGCAGACTTGACTAGTGTTGATAAACATCCAGAGTGTGAGAGAGAGCGAGATTTTCACGAAGCCTTTGTTGATGCTCTTTATTATTGGGTCCTCCAACTTGTAGGTGTTCACTTGGGTGTGTTTTGACCTAGGCGAACCACCGAAACGCATGCAAACGGTCGAACACACTAGTACATGATCAGTATCGACGCATTTTGACCAAAATGATCGGCAGTCGTGTACGCTGCCGCGCCACCTGCGACTTATATCATCATTCATCATTATACACGTTAGCTAGATGTGGGAAAACACCTTCGCTATTGTGCCGCGATACATGAAGGAAATATATGCTTGGCGGCATCCGGTTTCGGATTTGCCTGTCACTGTGGTCAGCCACAGGACGCCTGCGCCTACAGAGGGATCACGGGTGGCTTGATCTGCACCACCCACAGCTCCAACCACACACCCCATATCCAGTGTAAACCCGAAGGAATAAGACCGGGAGGCATGTGGATGCGAGCCACGTTTCATCAACGGAGCCGGCCCACACTCCTTCACAGGCAAACACAAGCACGCTGTATTTGGGAAATCAAACGCACACAAGGCGGTGGCTGGACCGTAGTCCGCTCCACACTGAGTGCATGGAACCCCTCTTTGAGACTAGCACGGCCACAAGGACCGTGCACCCCCATCCCCTCCAGCAACGACCAACTGTCTCCTGGAGCCAGTATGGACGAGGTAGTGGGTAATAGACAGGTAGGCACCTTGTCGACATGCACATCAAGCGCAGCCACACCGCGGATATCAAGCAACAGCCAATCACCTGGAACGACAAGATGAAATAAAACAAATCCAATAATGCATACAGATACGGTGGCATAACACTTTGCTAAATTAGCATATGAAGTAAGTTGGTTAGCAACGAATCCGCGATGAGGAAAAAATGTCCTCAAGTTACTTAAAAATGCTA